GGAACCGGGACGGGCCCCCCCCCACCCGGGACGGGAGCGCCAGCCGTGCCGGGGGCTTGCGGGCAGGGCGAGCCCCCGCAGCAGCTGCTGGAGGAGGAGACGGAGGGGAGCGGGAGTTTTCCTCTCACCACAGCTGTGTGCCCACCTGGCAGGGGAACGCTGGTTTCCCCGCCAGCCCCAGGGATGTTTTCCAAGCACGTGCCTTCGGTCATCCCGTTGACTGCTCAAAGTTCTTGTCCCCGCTGCTGCTCTTCAGCGTGTTTAAAACACGAATTGTTTGCAAACTCCTCAAGTCCTCCCCGTGTTGCTTTTAGCTTCTGACCTGCGAGTGGGCTTGCTCATCTCCTCCAAGGTGCGTCCCACTGGACTTTCTGACGTCTCGCTCTGCCCGAGGCAGAGCCCGTTCTCCTGGGAGCACCTCCCTCTGCTCATCTCTTGCCATCCCAGGCTTGTCCCCAGCCCTCCTTCTGCTCAGGGTGTTGTCTCTCATGTTTCTCACTTGTTGAGGCCATAGGTCTGTGTTTCTAAAACTTGCTGGATAGGGGCAGCCGTCGCTAGAGTTTGTTTTTTGCCCATTTCTGTCTGCACTTTCCTATGTGAGACGTTGATTCCTGGCTGGGGGCGGTCACCTTGATTCTGCAGACACCTTCTGTCAGGGGAAGGTCTCATCCCACAGGAGTCTCTGGGGTTCATGGTTGAGCTGTTGAGGTTCAACCTCAGTTCTTAGGGCTTCCAGGGGGTTCCAAGCTCCTGCTGTCACTGCTGGGTGACCTTGCAAGAGCAGTGTCCCTGCTTTCCCCTCTCTCCCTTTGTCTGAACATCTGCTCTCTCCAGGTTCCAAATTACCTTGTCTTCTCCCTAGTCATGCTCTGTCTCCCAGCAGTCAGGGGCCTGGAGGAGCTGGCCCTGCCTGTCCCCTCTCCAAAGTCCTTGTCCTTGCCCTCCTGGAGCTTCACCCTCTCCCCGCATTGCCCAGACCCTCGTGGAGGCAAGTGGGAGTTTGGCCCCCTGAGGGCTCCTGCGAAGCGCTTCCCAGCGCTGGCCTGTCTCTATGGCTGCTCTGTTGTCAAGGCTGTGGGAGTTGTTGTTTGGTTTTTTTTTTAACCAGATCTGTGCCTCAGCCTGATTTTTTTTTTTTCCCCATTTTTTTAACATCAGAGGGGCGTATGTGATCCCTGTGCCTTTGTTCTCAGTGCAGCTACATCTTCTCTCCTCCCCTCCTTCCCGACCCTTCCTCCCAGCAGCTGCTGGACCCGCTGCCCCTCGTGGGCCCATTACTTGGCAGAGGGACGGGAACCTCAGGGCTATTCCATTTCTCTAAGCTCTGTGAGCAAACTCAGCCCCGTTGAGACTTAACGTGCCCATGTTGAGGGAGAGCTGAGGAAGACCACCCCGATGTGGACACTGAAGATCTGTGTGGGGACGAGCCCCTGAGGCCAGATCCCCCTTATGCCACTGTTCACAGATTGATTTTCTGTTTTTTTCCCTCTCCACGCACAGGGACGATGCGGGCCATCCGCAGGCACCTCTTCCCCGGGGACTCTGCTGCCGGGCAGGGCATCGTCTGGGAGTGGCAGAACGACGAAGGCGGGTGGTCTCCCTACGAGATGAAAGTCTGTGTCTTCCTGGAGCAAGCCCGGGCCACCAACCACCAGCGAGTGGATCTCGGACCCTTGGGCTACAACTATGACGTTGACTTTGCCGCTCAAGTCCAGACCAACAAGACCACGAGGTTTCGCCGCAGCGTTCGGAGGCGCCTGGACGCCCCGTACCCAGTGTCGGCCTCTCCGGCACCCCTTCATGCCACGGGGGGGGCTTGTTCTTGCCAGCAGTGCTGGCTGAACGCTGGGACTGGTCCCATCACCACGCGCTACCGCCACTCCATGAGCAACTTTCCCAACTCCTCCGCTACCGCTCAGGTTCCGGGTAGGACAGCGTTGGCGAGTTCTTCCGGCATCGGCTTCGTACCCTATAACAAACCGACCTTGTCTGGAGCGAGGTCGACACCAAGACTCAATGCACAGAGCACCTTGGCTTTGCCTCACGCCGGAGGCCCTGGCACGGGGCCATCTGCGTCGAACGGAGTCAGGTACAGGCCTTAATTCACCTCGAAATACCAGGCAGGTGTCTGAGAGACCTGCTGTGCTCAGGTGTCTGAGAGACCTGCTGTGCTCAGGTGTCTGAGAGACCTGCTGTGCTCAGGTCTTCGTTGTCCAGAGCCTCTCTGTCCCAGAGGACTGCACAAGGGTCTTCTCCCTCGAAGGAGAGGGAGGTTTGTGCTTCTGTTTTCAGGACAGTGGGTGAAAAGGCTTCTCCTCTGTTTTCTCCTTCTGTTCTCCTGCTTGAAATACAGTCCCTGCCTACCAGTGTCCCTGAACCACTGGAAAAACAGTTGAGTTGAGATTCTACAGGTCTGAGAAAATTAATAGTGATTGGTGGTATTCTGGGTTATGCTTAGAAACAACTTTGAGGGAGACTGAGCGGTGAAAGGTGTCGACACCCTTATTTAATTCAAAGTATGCAGTAAACATAGAGTGGGAAAGAGCGTTCGAAGCTCTTCCCCTTCGAGAAGGGAGCACGGGGCTCACTGTGTGTGTGCTGAGACCTCCCAAGTTCTCTGATGGAATCAGAAAGCTCGTGCTGGATGTTTTTAAGGTGAACAAGCAGAAAAAAAGCCCAACCCCTAAGACATAGATTTGATCATCCATTGTGAAGACGTTTAGAAAACCAAATCATTAAATCACTTTCCCCTTCTACTGATCCCTTGAACCTTGTTCGTCCGTCTCCATATGCCCTCAGTGGGGTGACACCAGCAACCTGAGCGATTTATTTGGCTAAATGGTGGCGCAGAAAGGAGGTGCCACGGTGGAAGAGGTTCCTTTTGCACGTGTCGAGGTGCTGTTGCGGTGTTGGAGGACTGGAAGCGAGAGCAGGTCTGTCAGGAGGTTTTAAATCCAGTTCAGCCTCACCTTGTGAGGGTTTTGCCATGTCCTTTCCCTTCATGTGAGCGCCGGAGAGAGGGACTTGCCGGGGCTGGTTTATCCGTCCAGGCCACCCTGAGTAAATACAGAGATACAACACGTCAAGGGGTGTGGAAACACGTTGCGCTAATGACACGGGTTGCGGGGGTTTGAAGGTATTTTGACTCTCGTTTGTATTCCCTTAGTGTTGTCCCAGGACTTTGCCCCTTGGGGTTCATCTCGGTGAAACGACTTCCCGCCTCCTGTTCCTCTTTCACACAGTCTTTTTCTGGTGCCTTCTTTGCACCTGCTGATTTTTTGTGGCGTCTTAAGCACCTGTGATGCTTCTCTGTTCCAGTTACTTTCGAATAGGGCTGAAGGTCAGACCTCGCTCTTGCTGTCTCCCGAAGAAGCTGCTGGATTCCCCCCCTCTCACCAGAGGCGCTGGTGGGTGCGTGGGGCTGCTGAGACCCCCCGTCCTTCCCCAGAGCCTCAGCCTGATCTGCAGGATGGGAACATCAACAAATGAAGAGCCAAATGCTGAACCACAGATCGCAGCCCGGGGGCAGGCGGCAGCTGGAAGCTCACTCAAACGGACCCCGGAGAAAGGCACGACGAGGATGTGCATCAGTGGCTCTTTGTGGTGATGCCTGGGTCTCCAATCCTTTTGGAACCGCTCGGGATGGCTTTTCCCCATCAGCCCTGTGCTGGGTTTGAGTCCAAATGGGTGGCTGTAATCGCTCCTGGCTGGAGTTACAGCCTCCGGCTGCTGCAACCCGTGTTCCAGCTGTAAATACTCCAATTTCTGCGGATTAAGGGAAACCTGAGTAGCAAACTCTAACAATGTGTTTCATTTAATTCCTAAGCCCAGGATGTTCCTGGGTTATTTTATCCCCTGCGTTCCTCGTTGTCCCCCTCGGCTGGACCTGGAGGAGGTTTTGTGATGAATCGCTGATTATCCTGCTGCAGCTCTGGGTGCTGGTTGTGCCTACAGATAACGCAGGCAGCCTGGCGGGGGGAGGATTTTGTTTAAAAGAGTGGGGAACACGGAGGTGCTAGGTCCTGGGGAAGGATTCTCACAGCGTCGTGGTGTCCCTAACAAGGTGCCACATCCCCAGCTCTCCCCTGGGGAACCTCCAGCAAACAGGGCAGTGGGAGAGCGGGAGCTGCGGTGTGTGTGCCGGGACAAAACCGGGCCAGGGAGGAGGAACAGAGACTGGGAAGTGTCCGAAGGATCTGGACATTGACTTCCTCATGTTCAAGCACAGCCTGAACGTCTGCCTGGGAGTCAGAGGCACCAGCTGGTCGGAAATCGTCCGTGGGGAGCCAAAGCAGTGGGAGCCGGCATCCTTCCCTGTGACTTCTTCCCCTTCCTCCAAAACCCCAACTGCACACCCAGGGTAGGCTCTGAAAAGTGTTTTCTACCTGGATTTTGGCAGCATTTCCTCCCAGGCCTGCACAGGCAGCGGTGTGCCAGAGGATTTCATCAGTCTCGGGGACCGGGCTTTCTGCAGATCCGGACGGCATCGTGGCACGTGGCAGGAGTGAGGTATCGAGCCAACGGGTCGGCACATCCCAGGATGTCGTTAGCAAGATGCCGCCAACCGAATGCGTGCGTTGAGGCCCGTGAGAAAGGAGAAGTGTTTGGTTTCTTTGCTGTCGCCACATCGGTTTGCTCAGAGCTTCTAGCTGTCAGAGCTGACACACTTTGCACGAGGATGGTGGCTCATCAGCAGCTGCTCCCTGGCCGGGCGACAATGTTCTACCTGCAACGTGCTTGTGGCTTGAAAATGCATCAGCTGCTCGTCCTTTCTCTGTATTATCCGTTCTCCATATTATCCATTCTCCATACTATCCACTTCCCTCTGCAAATCTCAAGGGCTTGTATTGCTTCGTAGCAGCTCCAGCTCCGGGGTGACTTGGACTTGAGCTGTGAATGCAGGAGAGAAGAACTTTTCAAGCTTTGAATGAAGAAGTGAAGAACTCTGCCGGTCTCCCTGAAGCGAGGTTACCTCCAATTTGCCTTCTCCAGCCTCTGGAAGCTGGAGGACCCCTCAGTGCCCCTTGACTTTCCTGGCAGAGCAGAGGGTTCAGCTTTGTGCTCTATTTTCACCTCCCGCGGGGAAGTGAGAGCAACCAAGGTGGTGGCTGTGCTTTGTGGTGGGATGATGAAGGACAGGCTCTTTGGTGTCGGAGTCGCAGGCTGGTGGAGGGTCTCTGCTGGTAGCCATCATGTGAAGAGGATCATAGGAGCAGAGATGAAGAGGCTGAATCGGGAGAGAAGAAAAAGCCACAAAGAGGAGTGATGGCATCCGCTCCCCTTTGAAACTGAGGGGGGAATTTCCACTGCCTTCCATGGGTTTGAACTGGGCTGTAGCAAGAACGAGCCCTTGCAGCATTTGTGGACGTTGCAGACCCTCGGGCAGCGGTGAGGAAATCCCCGCGTCTGAAAGAGGCGGAAGGGAAACCTCTGTGGGCTGGGGGAGCGGATCTCAGCCAGGCTGCCAGGGCCGCGGTGCTGAGCCGGGGTCCTGCCCACGGCTGCTTTGGGGAGCTCAGGCCCGCGCAGGAGCCGGTGTCAAACTGCAGCAAGGGGAGAGAAAGAAGGTGGGGCCGCGTCACTTTGTGTCACTCACAAACCTCTCCGGTCGTGGGAATGTGGACAAAGTCTTTAGCGAGGCTGAGAGGAGGGGACCTCTACCCGTGAGGCTGCTGGGGACACGGTGGCAGCTCTTGCATCCTGGCTGGAGGGATTTGGGTTCCCCCGCGGGAGCGGGTGGCATTTGAGTGCTTGACCACCTTAATCTCAGTGAGTGCCTCAGAAGCTCCTGACATAATTTGGGGTATTTTGGGGTGTCCTTGGAGGTGGCTGGCTGATGCGCTGTGATTGAGCCTGCATCCATCCCGTGATTCCTGCTCTGCTCGTGTGGATCCAGCTTGCTTTCTCCTCTGGGGACCCCTCATCGGCTTTTCTGCTCCTGCTCACTCTCTTCTCCCTAACTCCTGCTGCCAGCACGACCCTGCATGTCCCAAACCAGCTCGAGGTGCAGCTGCAGCGCTGAGAAACGCTGCAAAACAAGTAGGTAAGGGACCCTGAGGAGATGTTTGGTGTCCAGATCCTTCTGATTTCCACAGGAAAGGTGGGTGCCAAACTCTTCTAAGTCATCTTTAACCTTTCCTGCCTTGTTCCCACACTTTGCCATCACCCCTTGCAGTGCAGGGAGAGTCATGGCTCGGTTCTGTTCAGCCCAGGGCTGCAGCTGCGTCTGCTTGAGCACTTCTCTTGGCCTTTCTCTGCCTCAGTTTCCCCATCTGGAAAACAACAGGGAGTGAGAATGCTTCCTTCCAGCCATCCAGCTGCAGGGCTTTGGTGGGCACTGCTGCTCTGGCTGGAGACCATGTCACCTGGAAGATTTAAGATGAATGTTGCTGCGTGCTCGTAGAACTATTTGGGTTGGAAAGGACCTTAAATCACCTCCTTGCAACTCTCCTCCCACCAGGGAGGTGGTGGAACAGCAAGAACGGGGCTGGATCACGGGATCCAGAGCAGGGCAGGACAGCAGGTCGACCAGCAAGAGGAAGGGATGGGTCAGGCCCAGCAGCCAACCGGGAGGAGATGGAGTTGGAGCTTGGAGCTTGGAGATGGGTAAACCTACCAGAGAGCTCTGGCAAGGACCAGCCTCCTCAAATCAGGGTGGTGGACGCGGGCTGCGTGGGTGGAGCAGTCCCCAGTGTGTGGTGGTGTAGCCGTGCTGTTGAACCTCTCCTTGTCTCTTCTCTCTGCAGTCCCCCGGACCTGCCGGTCAGGATGTCCAAGCCCAGCAAGGTGCAGCAGGCCCTGGCAGGTGTCCCTGGCAGGTGAGAACCCAGAGAAGCATACGCTCCGTCTGCGCCCAGCTCCCTCAGTCGGCTCTCCCTCGCGTTTGGGGGTCTGGCCCCAAAGACCTTTCAGGGAGCAGATTTCGGAGGGGAAACAGGATGGTCAAACCTCAGTAACTGTTTTTCTTGTTGGTGCTGGTCCTGAGGTTCTCAAAACAGGTGGGACCTTTTATATTTCCTCTCGCGTGGGTGTGGGGAGCACACAGGGGCCGGACTCGGTGGGATTCGCTGCCGCTGGCCGGGGTGAAGCCGGTGAGGGAACGGTCTGGGGCGTTGAACGTGATTTTACGCATTTAAGCACCGGTGCGTTCACTCTGTTTGGCTCACTCAGCCTCGGGGTGCTGTGCCGGAGCGAGGGGTCTGCTCCGCACCAACACCCAGCGCGCCTTCGAAGCCGTGTCGGAATGCGGTGACCCCCAGGCACCCCAGGGCAGCCGGATCTTGTGGCCAAACCAGCTCTGCTGAGGGTTCTGGGTCACCCTGGGGAGATCCCTTCACCCTCCTGCGCCCCTGTTGCTGTCGTGTGAGACCTGGGTCTCGCAAACCGTGATTTTGGTTGTGGGATGGGATGGTTTTAGTAAAAGCATCGATTCTGTGTGTCAAGAATCATAGAATCATAGAATGGCATAGGCTGGAAGGGACCTTGAAGGTCATCTAGTCCAAGCCTTGAGCAGGTTCTGGAGTGTTTTCTGTACTCAGACCTTACTCAAAGGAGGTGTGGAACGCGGTGGGCACTGCGTGGGGTAGTTCTGTGGACCATGTGGGCTTTGCGTGGGGGATCTGTAGGCACCGGGCGCAGGTTCTTTACTGGTCCCGTGTTTGAGACAGAAAATAGTCTTGCAGACAAAGCCGGGCGATGCTTCCTGTCCCAGCTCCTTCTCCAGCTGCGCGTGGGGCAGGCACGTCGTTTCTGTCTTCAGCCAACGCGCTCTGACATCCTCTGTCCGCAACTCGGCTGAGCCGAGGCTTGGCTAAAGAAAATCCGTACAAATCCCAGCTTTGGCTGTGACGGGCTGCGGGGGGTGCTGGCGAGTCTCCGTAGCTTTGGGACGTGGTCCGAGGTAACTTTGGGGGAAACTCTGGGTTTTTGGATTCCCTGCTGCCGGTCAGCATCGTTGTTCGTAGTTCTGGCGACGGCCTTTGCGGGTGGAAAATCCCCTCCTGGGAGAGCGGAGGTTGCCTTTGGTGTCAGTTCAGCAGCGATGTCCCACCTTGGAGATGTTGTGACAAACACCACGTGGTCGGCCCTGTCGCTCTCCGTGCTTCGGGGAGCCGTGGGGCTGGGGGTCAGGTCGGCTTTGTGCGGGAGCAGCTGAACTCCGGTGAGGGAGAGGACCTTGTCCCTCGGCTGGGTCAGTACCCGAGGAGCCCCAAAGCTAAGAGAGTCCTGTTCACACACCCCAGAAGTCCCTGGACCCCTTGTGCTGCCTCCAACCCCGCTGCCTCTGGGATGTTCCGTGTCCTCTCCACCAAGGGCCTGGGTTTTGGTTTATTTTACCATTGTTTGGGGATTATTATTTTTTTATTTATTTTCTGCGAAAGGTTCGAGTTGTCCTTAATATTGTCCTCCCCATTGTTTCCCCCGCATGTTGGTCCCCGCCGTAGGCGTGACGGCTGTCCTGATGTCGGCCGCTGGACTCCCCGTGCCCCTCGCCCCCGCGCCGCAACCTGCCAGCACCCAAAAAGCCACTAAAAAACACAGCTCAGTTAAGGAGGGGAGAAAAGTGTCCAAGAAAGGTAGTTGCTGCTCAAACTCTCGATACTTGCTTCCACCTCCTTCTCTTTACCTCTCTGCGCTCGCTCTGCCTGCCTCCCTCCTCTTGCCTGCCCCCTGCGCTCTTGGCTCTTCTGACCTGACCAGCGATGCTCGTCCCACCGAGGGGAGGAGCGGGACACGTCTCCTCTGCCTGCGCGGTCTCTCCCAGGCTGGGCAATAGGATGAAGTGGACCCAGTCCCGTAGTAGCTCCACATGTTACTGGTGGTGACTAAAGCTGGAGCAGCCCTGTTGTTCCCTGTGGATGTTGAGAAACCCTCCCCACTTGCACTTTCTTGTAGCCCTGGTCTTCCAGAACCTTCTCTGACCCATTGGTGGGACAAGGCTGGGAGCTGAGGGACCACCGAGGGGAGTATTTGACCCACACGTGCTCACAAGGGGAAGTTTGCTCCTGAGCCGTGCTCGTCACGGCTGCATTGTGGGCAGAGGAGGATCGAGCAGGCCCCTGAGTCAGGAAGGGTTTCCAAGGTGGGACTGAAGAGGATTTGTTGCCCCACCTGAGGTAGGACCTTTGTTCTCTCTTGTATCTCAATGGCTTCCTGCTCCCTCACCCGTGCAGCACCTCTGGGCTCCTCGTTCAGAGCCTGGACCATGTCCCAGGACTCTGCAGGGGGTGGTGTAGCCACAGGGGTTGTTTGCCAGCCCTGGCACAGGTGTCCTGGGATGCTTCCCCCTTCGGATAAGCAAAGTGGGAACTAGAGGTGGGGCAAGGGGATGCTTGTGTCTGAGAAAACAGGGAGAGCCCTGAGGTGGAGGGAGGAGGCTGCTGGGGAGCTCGCTGGTGCTGGCATCTCCTTGGAATCCGTGCTCGATGGGGGAGCGAGGTCTGAACGTGCCCAAAGGAGGCAGGAAGGGTGGTAGGAGGAAAATAGAAATGAAATGTGCGTGGAGGTGTCTTGCAGAAATGTGTTACAGAGGGAGCAGGAAGGAGGAGGTGGAAGCGTCAAGAAGGAGGGAGAGAGAGAGTGTGGAGCAGGACGTGTGACGGGGAGGAGGGACAGGGCAGCAGAAGTGGTAAAGGACTGAGGACGCAGCACCCAGAGCTGCTGAGCCTCACCACGCGCAGGGCTGGGTGTGCTCAGGCAGGGCTGGTGGCAGGGGGGGCCTGGGACCTCCCTGCCAGCTCCTCAGTGCTGCTTGCGGGGCCAGGACACCTCCAGAGAAGCGGA